GTCCGCCTGACGAAGCCACAGGCCTGCAGCGTGCTGCTCGCCCCACGGCTCACTGCTCCTGGCCAGTGCCAGCCCTACCGGGGGTCCCTGCACGGCCCCCAGAGCCACCAGCCCAGCCGTACTCACCATCTTGCCCCCCGTGGCCCTCATGTGCTGCTGCTCTGCCAGCCAGTGCTTATCCTGCGGGTCGGCTGCGTACTGCAACAGAGCAGCAAGGGCCTGCCTGAACGGGGGCAGCAGACCCCCGGCTCTGACCCTCCTCCAGCATGTGCCCCCGGGCAGCTCTGCCTGCCGCTGCTCCAGGCAGACCCACCACCTGGGAGCTGCCCTGTACCGCTACGTGTCCCAGGGGATGCCCGGCTGCCTGACCCCAGACAGGGGTGCTGGGCAGGACAGGCCGTGTGCTGCAGCTCCTGCTGCCCCTCGGAAACAGCTTGTGAGCAAACCCCGGCGGAGGAAGCGTCCTGACCTTAAAGAGGTGGGGATGCTTGATGTAGAGCCGCCCTCTTGTTCCTCCCATCCCGAGAGCTCTGAAAGAGGAACACAAGGGGGGTTACAAGAGTGCAGAGGGCAGCCACGGCGCTACCGGGACACCCCTCTCCTCCCCGAGGCCCTCCTGCTGCTTTGGAGGCAGAGAAGCGAAGTGATGGGAGTCGTGCAGGCTCCTGCCTCAGGGACACCACCCTCCGTCGGCAGGGCCGCTCCTTACTTGTTTGCTCGAGATCCCAGCACAAAGGTTGTGGTTTCAGTCAGTCGGGATGGATCCCACTACAGAGCAATTGGAAAAGGGGCAACATTAGAAATGAAGCTGGTGCCAGCCTGTGTTTCAGGAGCCTCAGCTCTGACAGGGAACCTCAAACTGCCCCCAGGCCTGGCAGGGAGCAACCTGGCCACAGACCTCAAACCTTCTACAGAGGATCTGGGCTGACCTAAGCCCTTTCCCTCACAGGAAACACTTGTGGGATCCTCCTGGCCAGGACTCCCAACAGCAGCATCATGCTGCAGAGCTACAGGCTACAGTGCCAAGGGGAGGCAAGCAAAGTCCTCCAGGCACTTCACTCCTCTTCCTGCTTCTCTGCTGCAGTGCAGGGGCAGAGCCCAGCTCAGCGCTGCCCTCGGCTCACGCAGCAGCGGGAGGAAAGGGGAGGAGAGCGTGAGCCCCGGGCCGGCCAGTACCTTTGGTCCATCCCTTTTCACAGGCTCAGAGACCTTCAGTTTCCACCTGTAGGGAAGGGAAACACAGTGAGAACCGAGTCCTCACAGGACCAGCACTGTCACTACCACAGCATCAGCAGCAGGGACTAAGCCCCAACCCTTCTAGCTCTGCATTCTTCACACCTTCCACCCCGCCCAGTGCCCAGCTCTGGACATTCTCCTCCTCCAGGCTGCTGAGACCCCAGCACCCTCATGTCGCACACTGCTCCACCCAGACCTCTTCACCCCTTCAGGTCTGTTTCAAACCCACCGGAGGGGAGTAGCTCAATCCAAACCTCCCCTGCCCTCCCCCTGGCACCCCTTGCCCCTCTCCTTTCTGCCAGAGGGAGATCACAGGGTTTCTGAGCTCCCTCCTCTCCCCCCCGCCCTCCCCTGCTGGGGGCTCCAGCTCAGGACCCGTACTCACGCAGCCATGCCCGAGATCCCACGGTCATTTGACAGGCTCTGTCCTGGGGGCCGCCCCTTTCTCTGCGTGGAAGAAATCCTTCAGCAACTCTGCTGTGCAGACCCGCCTGTTACCCACCCTCACAAGCAGAAACACCGGCTGCACCAGAAAGAGCCCCTCCGAGGCACCCCAGGGCCTGCCTGTGCCCTTGCATGTGGCCACTGGCTTCCCAAAACATAAAATCCCATGTGAAAAACACTCTCACCTTTTTGGGAATGGGGCTCCCACGACGATTCAGCTCCTCATCCATCTGCCGGGCGCGCTGGAAGGGGAAGGGCAGTGGATGAGCAGGGCTCTCCTTCCCCAGCCGGCCGCTCCCCCCTTCCTGTGCTCCAGGCAGGGAGCACAGTGTGCAGGGAAACACCAACCCCCCCACCTCTGTGAAGCACTAAACTGCAACAACCAGAGACTCCACCTGGGATTTTCCTCCCCTGCAGGTGCTGCTCCCTCTCAGACAAACAGCCCCCAGCTCGGCGGGCAGGGAACAAAGCCACTCCACCCCTCCTCCTTCTCCCAGCTTTTACAAGTAATTAAGACTCCGGGAACAAAACCAACTTTTACCTTTGGTGCTGCCTGCTCATGGGGCAACCTGGGAAGAACCTTTTTGCCATCAGAGAACAGCAGTTTGGCCTGCAGGGAGAGAAGGAAGTGTCACCCAATCCTGGGCCCAGAGAGGGACAAGCCCCCTCTTGTGCACCTGCCTGAAGCCTGGTGACAGCTCTGGAGTGCTGCCATGCAGCACTTCCACAGACAGCGAGATGGAAAGGCACAATCTGAGCACGGCAAGAGTCTAGGCAACTTGGTTATAAGCAAGATGTGAAAGAAAAAAGTCCCAGCCCACTCCCCAGGGCTCTCTGATGGGTGCCAGGAGCCAACTCTCTGTGCCACACATTCTGTCAGAGCAGTGGGAAGCAGCAGCACTTACTGCCTGTCCCTGGCTGCTCTCCTCTACCAGCAAGAATGAGGTCAAGCACAACAACCCCACGGGCTGCAGATGGTTCCTCAGCTAACAGCAAAGGTATTAACAGGGACACATCCTCACTGGGCTGCTCCACTCAGCCAGGCTCCAGGCTTTGCTGAGGGAATGGAGCCCCTTGCTAGTGCCCACCTGCTCCAGGCAGCTCCGACACGTCTCCTGGATGAGCTGCTCTGGGTCCACCTCCTCCCCGACGTTATCACGCACATTGGTCGCTGCCTTCTGGAAAAAGCAGCAGGTCCATGGAGACGGCCGGGTCCGTGAAGCTGAAGGTGGAGGAGTCGGGAGGGGGGCACAGGACCCGTCTGCTCCTACCTGGTCTAGCCCAGAGCCGCCCCAGGCTGGTGCCCGGTCCGGCCCAGCCCAGTCCCGCTGCTCCGCCTT